CAACATAAAGATAACCTATATAAAACATTCTCTAATAGTTATTTTTAGGATCTATTTTTATAACCACTAACTAACTTTCCTAAAAGCATATAATAACTCCGCATTGTTAGCTGGGTAGTTATTATACGCTGAAGTATTGACCTTTCTGTCCTGTGTAGGTGCTGAACCTGGTGCAGTCTTACGTGACCCTGCGTGTGCCCCTGCACGTGTCATACGTCTTTCATTCGCCCGTCGGCGCTGGTGGTTGGCAGCACTTTGACCTGCAGTCTGAGCTGCGTCTCACTTTTGTTTACGATACTGCCATCTTGTGGAGAGATGGCATTGGTAGTCCACCTGAAGCTGAATTACAAGGCAAGACAGCATGTTTTTCCTTTATCTAAATGGAAAACACAGTGTAATAAATCTAGCAATATTTTTGGACTATTTTAGATTATTTTTGCATAGTACTTACAGCACTGTTTACAAGTTTGAGGGTCAGTAATTTCAATAAATAAATAAAAAAAATGTTTTAATGTTTTTGTAGTGCGCTTCTTATGTAGACGAAGACTGCTTTTATTTGATCAGAAATACAGTAAAACATAATATTATGAAATATTTTTGCTGCTTTCTATTTAAATATATTTTAAAATGTAATTTATTTATGTTTAGGTGCCCTCTATCCTACAAGCATGCGCATCAATGAACAAGGCCGTTTGGTCGTCAACTTCCGTACAGAAGCACGTTTTCGGGGACTGTTTGTCGCTGCACATTCAGGTGTGTTATTAAACATATTAAACATACTACAAGTACCTATAAATGATTTCATCTGGCTCTAATAATTATTTTTAATTTGCTTTTTAGCTCATATCTTCATTATGTAATTGGATGAAACTCACAAACACTGTCAAGAAATGTACTGCTCATATTTCACATTTAAAAATCGAAATAAATGAACAAGAAATTATATTTTGAATATCGAAAATGAAGCTTATTTTTGGAACCAGAAATTGTTTTTGATATTTTTAGTACTAGAATTTAATTATAATTGCAGTTGCAGCAGTGGACCTTCATCTCTGACTTTGCTGTAAGTCTTTAGGATGTCTCTTTGTGCCATTTTTCTTTGTTCAAAGCTAAATCTGCTCTTGATATGTTCATGATTGGATTTGTCATTATTGGGTCCCCTTACTGTCTCTTCTGATACAGTAAGTGTTGAAATACTTTCCTGCAGGTGAGGGATTACTCAGGAACGTACACGGTGAAACTGGTTCCCTGCATGGCTTCTCCCGGTGTTGAGTACAGCTTCCGTCCCGTGTGCCACCCCAGAGAGCCAATTACCTTTGATCTGGACATACGCTTCCAACAGGTCATTACTGAATCACAAGCACTCATCAAAGGGGTCACAGCAAAAGGCTGTATAGCCGAGCTCAGAGATTACCTCTGTGTGTGTGTGTGTATAGTCTGATGTGTTACATTTACAGGATGCATATCTTACATACCTCTTTGCAAAACCTAGAAAGAAATAATCAACAAAACAATCAGCTCTGAAATGTCCTGGACAAACATGTCAGTTTGGCTTGAACAGTCATCTTGTTAAAAATACAATTTTATTTTAACATTAAACAAAGCAATAAACATAAAACAGTACTGTTGTGAAATATGAATACTAAATATAATATGAATATGAAGTATAATATATACATTATTACAATTTAAAATAACTTTTGTATTTTAATATATTTTAAAATGTAATTTATTCTTGTGATAGTAAAGCTGAATTTTCAGCAGTCATTACTCCAATCTTCAGTGTCACATGATCTTCAGAAATCATTCTAATATCATGATTTGGTGTTAATGAAACATTTCTTATTATTATCAATGTTGAAAAGAGATGTGGTGCTTAATATTGTTTTGGAAAGCAAGGAAATATTTTTTGTCAGGAAGTTTTGATGAATAAAAAGTTCAAAAGAAAAAATATATTTTGTAGCATTATGATTACTGTCAATTTTGGTCAATTAAATAAATTTTATATATATATATATATATATATATGTAATCCCTAAATAAAATACATTTTTGATTAATGAAATGGTTTTTTTTTTAGATTGTATTTCATTTCAGCTATTGTTTATTTTATTTCAGTTAACATATACATGTTTTATATTTAGAATAGTTGTATTAATTGTAATACTTTTAGTTAATTATAACACTGTTCAGTACTAATAATTGTCAATCAGAGTCACAAATAAAACTCTAAATTTAATGTTAAATATTTTTCATGTCAAGTAGGTCTAACGTTTCCATTAACATGGAGAACATTCTTGATCATTAGGCAGAAGAATGTGCAATTTTTAACTCATTCTGCTTTGCAGGACAAAGCTCAGCCAGAAACTCAGGCGAGAACATTTGGCAGCATTAGTTTCAATGCTTTCCTCGCTGTAGACGATCCTCAGGCACTGCCGCTGGTGAGGCAGCCGGGCTCTGACGGCTTTAGGTTGGATTCCACAGCTTTGTTTCAGGTAAGAGGGACAAAACAACTGCCAAATTAAGACACATCGCGATATTGTTGTGATTCTAACACTATAACACTGTCCAGGTGTCGGCAGGCAGGGAGTGGTACATTCACACCATCTACACCGTCCGGTCCAGAGACAACGCTAACCGAGGCATCGGGAAAAGGAGCCTTGACTATCATTCTGTGACACACAGCCACTCGATTTCCAAAAGGTCAGCCAACCGCGTTCCAGATTTGGCTCAGGATATTGGCACAGAAAATAACCGTGGCACAAACATCTTACACATAGCGCTGGACCGCAGCGCTCAAAAACATCCCAACCTTCATGAGGAATCCCAGGCGGAGGGTATCGTTCCTAGAGAATTGAATCAAAGGGACTCTAGTGACGACCGGCTTGTCGTGATCATAGGAATCTTGGTGGGTCTTCTCTTCACCATCCTCCTCGTCATTCTCGTCATTCTGGTGGTGCGATCTAGACGGGACAAGAACATCACCGAGTCCCCCAAAGGCTCCAGCAGCACAGAGCCCATGATGACACAAGGCCTCGATAGCAATGACAGCTCAGAGGTTTGATTTCCCAACAGTGGACCCTTTTATTCAAATCACTTTTTGTTTGCAAGTGCCTCTTGTTCATTTGCTCGGGCACGCAAGGACACATAGTGACTCGGAGTGGTTGCGCTCTACCTCTCCTCGGGATTTTGTCGGTCCGAAAGTGTACTTGAATTTCAAAAGCACTTCTGTTGTCACTGCTTTAATAATTGCTTGATGTCTGAATCTTTTGCTGAGAGAATGGGTTGTAAACTACTGCTACTACTGCTTGATGGCATTGATATTCATCCAAATGAAAGTTTTACTTTATATCCAAAGGTGCTAGATGAAAGAATGGTATTATGGGAAAGATGATATTGTATAAATACTGGTTGTTTTCAGTCACTGATCATTTTTTTTAATGGCTTGTTAGTATTATAAGGTTGAAAGAATCAAATTTTAGTCTATACTGGATGGGTGATCCATAAATAGTTTTTGTTTTTTATGTTTTACATTTTTGTGTTTTTTTTCACTGCTATTGTTTCTACTTTACAAATGAAATGTACTGTAATACAGTAACTTCAGTAACATCAAACTAGTGTTTTTGCTTTAATCAAGTTTCCATAAGAGTGAAATGGTTTCAGTTTTGGCACAACAAAAGCAAATTAGTATTATTTTTCTGTATTTTACATATTTATGGTCACTATCAAGTTTGCATGGTTTTATTTGTATTTTTATCTACACTTACTGTGTAAAAATGTATTATAGTGTATTATAAGTCAGCTAAAATGTTTGGGGAAATGATCAGTGATTTTTGCCATGTAACATTTCTTTGAGGTTTCACAGTCAGCTATTTTTTTTTGGAGATCATGGTCATGACTTTTGTACCGGAATGTGATGCTAATTAGCATGGTATCAAATGAACATTAATGAGATTAGTGAGCTTTTCTTTGAGATGCCTCAACACACAAAACCCTACTGATTTATTGGTCAAACAATGTAACTGTTGGAAGTATTTAGTATTTTTTTATGTAATTCTGTCCAAGAATATAGTATAGTACAGTATATAGAATATATACAGCTCTGTGTAAAAAAAAATGAGACCACTTCAAAATTATCAGTTTCACTGGTTTTCCTATTTATAGGTATGTGTTTGAGTAATTTGTTTTATTCTATAAATTACTGACAACATTTTTTCCCAAATTCCAAATAAACATTGTCATTTAGAGCATTTATTTGCAGAAAATGGCAGCTGGTTAAAATAACAAAAAAGATACAGTGTTTTCAGACCACAAATAGTGCAAAGAAAACAATTTCATATTCATTTGAAACAAAACAATATGAATGTTTTAACTTAAGGAGAGTTCAGAAATCAATATTTGGTGGAATAACCCTGATTTTCAAGCATAGCATTCATGTGTCTTGGCATGCTCTCCACCAGTCTTTCACATTGCTGTTGGGTGACTTTTTGCCACTCGTGGCACAAAACTTAAAGCAGCTCTGCTCTGGTGGTCCTCCATCCACACCTAGATTGACCTGGCTGTGTGGCGTGGAGTGGACCATTGTCCTGTTGGGAAAAAAACAGTTGGGGAACATTGTCAGAGCAGAAGGAAGCAAGTTTTCTTCTAGGACAACATTGTACGTGGCTTGATTCATGCACCCTTCACAAAAACAAATCCATCGATTCCAGCTTTTCTGAAGCACACCCAGATCATCACTGATCCTCCATCAAATTTCACAGTGTAGGCCTCCCATTACCATTAAACGACGAGGTGTTGGGCAAAGCTGAAAACTGAAATCATACTCCAGTCCTCTAAGGTCAAATCCTTATGGTCTTTTGCAAACCTCAGGCTGGTTCTTCGTTGCCTCTTATTGGTCTTTGTTCTTGCTTTGCACGACTTCAGCCCTGCCCCTAAGAGCCTTGCCGTACACTTCACCGCAGCTGCCGTTTGCCATTCTTTTTGTAGATCACGTGATGTCATCCTGTGGTTGTTCAGTGACATCCGAATGAGTTGGTGGTCATCCCGGTCAGTGGAGAGTCGTTTTCACCCACTGCTGGTCTGTAGCTTTGTTGTCCCCAATGTCTGCAGCTTGACCTTTTTCTTAAGAACCGCTGTCTTTGAAATTTCAAGCAACCTGACGCTCACTCTATCCCTCTGCCAGTAAAGGTACCCTAACCAAACACTTTGATGACAACACTTCTGAGTGCTTAACACTGACTAATGCTATTTATTCAATGTGTTACAAGGAAAAGAGATGCGTCATATTTTATACAGCCCCTCACAAAAGCCCAATGATTTCCAAACTGTGTAGCGGGGATGTGTACATGTGCCGAAGGTGGGAAATACTCTAGTGTACTGTGATATATGTTTTGCTTAAGTGGAAACAATGTATCTATTTGATATTTCACACTTATTTTCAGGTGGTTGTCCAAAGCTAACCGTCACCTTCAGCAAGGATATGAAACACAACACGCGGAGTAGCTATGCATGTTACAGTCCTGCTGTTGACTATGGTGAGAAACTAAAAGCAAATAATGTACAAATATGTTGACAAGTCTACGTATACGTATTTATATTTTAAATGTGTTCTGTTTTCTATAGTCTATGTGATCAAAATTCTCAGCTCAAGCACCGATGACGTTTTTATGTACTACACCACATTCGTCACTGATATTCTTCAGATTGGTAAGTTATTATTCTGCTATTTTGAATACTTAATTTTGATGGGTGAATTACGCCATCCAGCGGTTAAAAACTTCCTGTATAATAATAATATAAGCAAAATAAATAAGTCATTTGATCATAGCGTGAAATTATTTTGCACTATTTTCATGTCTCTCCTGTCAAGATTTACTATGATTTACCTATTTGCACTGAAAATGACCTCGAAGGACTTCAGTATTAATATTACTGTTATAATATTACTATAGTAATTGCCTTTTTTTTCTTAGTGTAATTTTTAAGATAATATCCAGGTAAAATCATAAAATTAGTTCAACTTAAACCAGAATTTTTCATCAACGTATATTTTGAAATATATTTCAAAATATAGAAAAAATTGCCCCCAACCACAAAAAAAAATCTAAAGTATGTTTCAAAATATATTTTTGTAAATATATTGGTAGACAATATATTTTGGCAATTTTTGTATAGTTTTGAAAATATATTTAAAAAATTATTTTATATATATATATATGTATATGTATGTATTATAGATAGATAGTTAACATTATTAAATCATTAAAATCAAGTTTTGATCTCTAGTATGGCTAAGATTGGAAGTGTATTTTCTTGCCCCTGAAATACATTTTGAAATATATATTTGTATATGAAGGTCGAAACTAAATAAATGTTATATTTTTTATATTGTTAAATGTTATATTGAATATATTTTGGTCAGGAAATATAATTTCTTGTCATATGGGATGTGGTGAGTATCTGCATAAAGTACAGTCAGCTAGCCATTATTTCAAAATAAACCCTGTAACTGGATAAAAGTGTCTAATAAATTAATAATGTACATACAAAAACTGTCTATTGTAATATACCTGCACATACAACTGTCAATTTATATATTTTTATTCCTTATTTACTTGTTTATACTCATACCTTTTGTTCTTTTAATATTTTGAATTGTTTTTAGCTTTATTTTTTTATTTTATTTTTTTGTGTGTAGTTTTGAAATGTTGTTGTATGCATTTGTCATTTGTATTTAATTTCTTTTATTTTCTTAAATGTGTATATATATAGTATTTATAGAGTTTTAGCTTTAATTACTTTTTCTTATTTGTAAGTCGCTTTGGATAAAAGCGTCTGCTAAATGACTAAAAGTAAAGTAAAGTAAAGTAAATTAATAAATATAAATGTTATGGAAAGTACATAATACATTACTTAATGCACTAATGCCGTTAACACAGAAACACTTTTCCTGTTTAAGGAGTGTTGGATTCTGATGCCACACGTCAGATGATACTGCGCTTATCTTGTGATGAAATGGAGCTGAAAAATGAAGCTCACTATCTGATCATGGGGCAGGAAGATGCAATATCAGTGCTCAATAACGACGGACAACAGTAAGCCTTGAAATCGTTTATAAAAAAAAAGACAGAATGCAAATTGCTGTTTCTGATTTGTACAACATTCTTCTTCTGTCGTTTCTGAAGTTTCGGGTATGTGCTGAACAATGACATGTGGATCGAGAAGATACCAGAAGAAAAGAAATGCAAGGCAACCATAAGTCGCTCTGCCTGCCATCTTCTTAATGAATTTCTAAAGCAACACCCCATTAACACCCCATTGTGACATTTAGAAGACAAGATGGAAAATAACCACTTCCAACATCGTTATTTGGCTCGGTAAATCATGTGCTTTTATTTCTAGTGCATACGGACATATAAAGAGACTGTTACAGTTGTTTGGTACATTGGAAACTAGAGTCTGAAGCATTTCAATTCAGTTTTTCATGTGTATTGGCAATATGGTAGATTCAAGTTACCCTTTATTCTGTTACATAGTCAAATGGGAAGAATTCTATAACAAAAATCTCTGACATGATGACCTTTAACTTTTCAGTGTCACACAACCTTCATTTTTAGGGGTACTTTTAGAGATGCTACATCAAGAGTGCATTATTGCAGTTTAAATACTATGTTTCAAATGCTTCACATGTCCCATTGTTGTTATACACTGTACAGTTCTACTACAGAATACTGTATTTAGTGGCTTAAACAACACTGGCTTTCGCTCGCACATGTTTGTAAAACCAGAATCATGACTCTATATAAAGTACAAATGCTCTCCTGATTCAGAATTCATTGCTTTTGAGGGCCAGAATGATCAAACTGTCATATCTAATGCAGTATCTTTTTTTATTTTTCATTCATTTGATTACATTCATAGAAAACGAGGAATAAAACAAAATAAAAAGAATAAAAAAAAACAGTAGTAAATGCTTCAGTAATATGGTAAACTATGGCAAGTACCCTGCAAATTGTTCTTTTATGAATTTTGTGGCTGTGTGACTTCATTTTCCCTTTTTAATGTTCATATTTCCGGTGTCTTCATATGACATATCTGCATTCCCTTTAATGACAAGGTGACTATCATGTGCATTAAAAAAACTCGGTTGTATTTCACAACACGTTAGCTTTGCACACCTTGTGAAAACCACTGAAGGCATTGAACTGCAGATAAACAAAACACTTCAACTTCGAAAAATAACATTATTAACCATTGTTTACAAAATAAATACACTTGCTTTATAACCTTTTTACGTGAATAAAACGCATGCAATATGTCAGTTGTGCTGTTGTGGTCAGTGCTATGTGGAAAGCCCATGTGACGTATAGGCGTAGCTTTTAAAATCAGAGGCACGATGAACCTACAAGCAGTTTTACTAAAGCACATTGACAGCCGGGTTACTTTAATATTGAGCTTCAGCGCACTAAGAGAGAGTGGATCTCCAAAACCATATTACAGCAAATCAATGGCGATCAGATTTACACCATATGATACGAATGCGTACACATGTACTGCTAGTCAATGCACAAAAGGCCAGTTTGATGTGAGATAGCGCCATACGCAGGTCATTCTTAAGCTGTTGCATTAATGATTTGCCCAGAAAACATTTATTGACCACCATTTTGTTCCCTGCAATTTAAAGGAGGGGTTTGTCAAGCAGCTTTTAAGGTTTTCAAGAAAGACTTTTGTGAAAGCACACAGATAGCTGCCCTCGATCACTGTTATATTCACAGCGACTGTGTTATTACTTGCTTGGGTTCGATATACATTCATTTAGGAAGTGACTGTTAAAACAAATCAATGCAAATTGATTAAATAGGGATGCAACATTCATGAAGCCCTGGGTTTGTTCGCATCAGCATGAGACAGATGGCTGGAAATTTGTGTGCAGAGACTTGTGCAAAGGAAAACATGAAATGCCAAAGAAGACTGTCGGAGCTTACAGTATATGAACTCTTCCATCACGGTGAGTGTTTACTGCAGGTATCGGTATACTTTGAAGCAGTGGTTTCCAGAGTCCGCCACGGCCACATGGCCATCTGACGTGAGAGCCAGACCCTGCGGACCGTACAAAGGATCCGCCGTCGTGTTGATGTACGACAGAAAAGAGCCAGAATTGTCAAACACCTAAACAACAAAAGGAACTTTTAGTAATTCATTAGCATCAACATTTTTAAGGAATGTCCATAAAGTGAATTCTGAAAAACATTTGCTTTTATTAAAAATGTAATTGTACTATAAAACTCAAATTATTTGCTGAAAGTAAAAATATAGTTTTTTTTTAATTAAAAATTTACAATTAAAATATATAATTATATTAGAAAATAAAATGTAATTGTAAAAATGTCTAAAAAAATAAAAATGTTTTTCGTAAATTAAATAATAATAATAATAAGATATCAAATAAAAAATTAAATACAAAATAAAATTATAAAATAAAATCGGGCTAGATGGTTGAAAGTAATTGCAAAAATGTCTTAGAAAAGTGGAATAGATTTTTTTAATTAAAAAATATATACATGTTAAAAAAATAAAATGAAATTAAGAAATAAAATACATATATATATATATGTTACAAAATAAAAGGAAAAGCTGAAAGTAATTGCATTTTTTTAATAGAGTAATCATACTTTGCTTTAGATAACAAAAGATCAAAACTAATAGCAGCTGCAATGAAATTCATACATTTTGAAATCTGTCTCAAGTGTGTAAATACTTAAGTCATTGTCTATAAACTGTAAAGTTACTACATCATTTTTGAATTTAATTACTCCGAAATGAATATGAATAGACAAAAATGAATAGCCTGCCTGTATCCTACTGTTACCCCAGTCTGCAACAATAATATTCCCATTGCCATCTACAGCCACACCGGTGGGTGCATTGAACTGGCCGTTCCCTTCGCCATGCGAGCCAAATTTAAACAGGAACTCGCCATCAGCATTGTAAACCTGCAAGAAGCCATAAATCCAAAACAATCCAAGTTATGACATGTGGAATAATTTACACAGTAAAAGAGAAGAGCTTACCGTACCTTAACAGAATGATTGTGGAAGTCTGTCACAACAATTTCATTCTTGTTGTTTATGGCCACAAAATGAGGACCTTATGGCCATAGAAGGAGAAAGACAGAGAGAGAGAGAGACCATTACATTCTCAACATGTTGTTTTGTTTCTAAGGAAATACCCAGCAACACAGAGAACACTTGATTCATGCAACCCCTACCTACATACCAAAAAAATACAAAATCTCTCAGCATAGCTTTCTTCATGTGGATAATCAATTATCCTACAAGGCTTTCTATATCATTGTAAGATGACCTCATTCAATAATCAATAATACAATCTAACTGCACAAAATGAAACTAATAAATCAACTAAAAATGAATAAAGTTGAATGCTCACTGAAGGCAGGGCCAGATTTACTCTGTTTTGGCTCTGTCGGTGTATTTGGAGTACTTTTGTCTGCAGAGAAACAGAAAGGAACATCTGATTAAAACATGATCTGGCCATGAATTCAATGCTGAAGACAAATATGAATATATTACCTGCAAATTGCCTCTCTGATGTTCCTTTGGCACCAAATTTGGTCACCAGCTTGCCGTTGGATTGGAAAATGAAGACACAGCAGGCCTTGTTGTCTGCCGTGATAATATGACCATTCTTGTCCACGGCCACTCCTTTAGGACCCATCAGCCGACCTGCACCGATTTTATTCTGCCAGAAAAGCAAGACAACATATTAGCACATCACCAATTCATCAGATCAATGGAACACAAGCAACATGAATTAGTAAAGGCTATCTGATGTTTGGAAAAAGACATTTTTAAGAGTAAGAGTTTTGAGCTAGTTTTAATGTAAAATTTAAATATGTTTAATATTTATATTATATATTAATAATATTTATTTACAAATTGTATTTTTTTTATTTTTATTTCAGTTTTATAAATTTTTTATTTCATTTTTGAAATAAAGGCATGTCTAGAAATGTCTAAAATATACTTAATACATGTTTTTGTACTGAACGCTTTTAATGTTTGAAAGCTGATTCCTTAAATTTTTTATTATTATTTTATTTTATGATACATAAATAACATTATTTTAAAATCCAAAAATTGGATGTTCTATGACTTTTAGAATCATGTTTAATTTAATTTTATCATTTAATACTGAACTAAGTTTTTTTCATTATCAATTTAATACATTTTGTATTTAATATATTTCATTATTTTTTATTTAATAATATATATTTTTTAATTAATTAAAATTATCATGAAAGAAATGTAACTGACCTTAAACTTGCCGTCTGGAGAGAAGATGCTGAGCCACCTGTTGTCATAGTCGGCTACAATAATGTCACCATTCATGTCCACTGCAATGCCAGTGGGGCGCTGGAGCTGGCCAGGGGAGCGACCTCTGACCCCGAACTTCAGTTTGAATTGACCATCACTGGAAAACACCTAGAAGATCACAGAATGCAGCATATAAATTATTCTGGCCAAGTGGTACACATTTATTCATATATCCATCTGTTAAAGGCCACCATCAGGCTGTTTATTCTTACCTGTATGCACTGGTTGTTGCTGTCAGCGAGCACGATCCGCCCGTTGCTAGTGGTAGAGATGCCCTGCAGGTTGGAGAACTCCCCCCGCTCTCGACCCCTCGTCCCTGTCACATCAAATAAGACGTCAATTGACAAATTGTGACACAGGCCAACAATCAAGCAGAATGCAGAAATTACCTTTTCATCTTTACAGGCCAACTTAAAAGACTGAAACAGTATATTATAATAAATTATTTTAATCAATTAAAATAAAAAATAACATTACATTTTAAAAATCTATAAATATAACCCTAACCTAAGCAATTATTAATTTATTATTGATTATTTACATATCGGTATCAGGCAGAATTTTATATGTGTGTGTGTACAGTATGTTTACAGTACAGTACAGTAAATGTACAGTATGTTTTCAAACTGAACTCAAACCCAAGAGTGACATCATCACCAACCTTAGTGGTCACTGTAACAGTGGCATTTTGTCCAACAACAGCATGTCTGAGACCCTCTCCAGTAGCCACACTGGTGTGCCCCACGGCGCTGGTGGTGAGCAGGACTCCCAGGTTCTGGATGGAGCGGCGCAGCCCCTCTGTCTCCACCTGACAGTCCAGGTGGCCGTTCTCATGGGGCTGCTCAGGGAAGGCGTGGCGGGCCAGAACGCCCATCCGCTCTCCCATCTGCTTCTGCACCAGGAGCACCTCTGTGGGGCTGCCGTGGTTTAGCGCCTGCTCTGTGAAGCTACAACTGCTCTGGATGTTTTCCTTCCCTTGAAGTAGTGCAGTGAGTTGGGCCTGCAGCACCTGCAGCAACATAAGCATTTGATATAATTACAGATGTCCCTTTAATTCAATAAAACAAACAATAAAAAATTAAATAAAATGTAATAAAATATCTGAGCTTTAAACTTAAAAAAAAAAATTATTCCATGTATAAATAAATATTGCTTTGGCAGCTAACTGAGATCAAATGAAAAATATATTATTTAGTAACTGGAACTAAAACTGAAAAAAAATATTTTACAAAAAATTATGCAACAAAATTATTAAAACCTAAATCAAAGTTCAAATAAAAAAAAAAAAATAAATAAAATAAAAGCAAATTCAGAATTATTCATAAATTAAAAAAAATCTGCTTGATGTACTCATATGCACATCAAATAATAAAATAAAATAAAATAGAAATTAATGTTCATTTATTGTTTATATTATTCTTAGATATTAGAGGTGTGAAAATGTATGTTCAATTTCTTTACACAATATTTAAATAATAAATAATTTGTTAATAAATAATTATTTGAATACATATAATTAAAATCAATGCAGGAAAATTAAAAATAAATTTAAAAATATAAATAAATATAAATAATTCAATTTTGATATGTAGTAATATGAAAATATTTAGTATAATTGTAAGTAGAAAACTGAAAATATACAATTAATTCAAGCTAATTCAAAATATGAATAAACACTATAAAATAAATACGATCTCTCTCTCTCTCTCTCTCTATATATATATATATGTACTGTATGTAAGGAGTAAGCTTTTCACCTTCTGCTTGGTGCTGCAGATGTTCTCCAGGTCAGTGATGAGGGTAGTCTTGCGCTGATGCAGTGCTTTCTCCAGTTCCTCGAACGTATTGCTGATCTCCGTCACTGCCTCATTCTTCCTGTCTGTTAGCTGCTTGGAGATCTCATTTACCAGCTCTATAGCTGCAGTCAGCTGAGGAAGCCTGCGGATGCAGAATGAGGGCAACGTTCAGTCAGGTCATGATGTGACTCAAGCAGCTGAGCTTTGCAAACACAACAGTAACTACATCAAAATGTTTAAAAAAAAAGAAGGGAAACCAAAATTGTAGTATTAAAAAGTAAGTAAAAAAAAAAAAGAATGATTCAGTGTACAGTATAAAGAATGGGTTAAAATATGAGCTTTAAATACTGGCTCAGTTTAACAGTGAGCTTAGTATTATTCTTGGCTGCATGAACCTGTTGCGAATAGCATCCAGCTGGTTCTTCAATGCAGCTTTGTGCTGCTCCAGAACATCCCGCAGTGGGACAGTCACATGTTCTCTGTGCTCTCCTTCTGTGCATTCCAAACACATGGCCGTTTCACAAGACTCGCAGTAAAACTCCATCACCTGCAGAGGGCGACAAAAACTCATTCAAATGCTGCACACAAAGATTAGTAAAGACTCAGTTTGAGTAGCACAAATACTATTTACACTTCATATTTTATGAGCGATCTCTCCATATCTTATCTGTGAATAGCTGAGAAAAAAAACTGTTGATAATAAATTCATAAATGCTTCCACTGTGTTGTTTTTGTGAATTATAATGTATTTGTATAATTTACTGTAATTGTATAATGTATTGTATAAATAAATAAAAAAAACTTATAAAAGTTTTAAAAAATAAATATTTCCACTAGTACATTACTAGTGTTGATTTTGTAAACTAAAAAATTGTTTTAGTAAACTTAAAAAATAAATCAATATAAATATAATATCAGTATCAATATAAATATAAATATTAGATGAAGAACTTGAAAAGCCTTGGTAGCTTACTGAAATAAAAAAAGTTTAAGTACTAAGATTATTAAAATTCAAAATTAAAAGGAAAACTGAAAATATAAAAATGAAAGCTGATTCAAAATATTAATAAATACTATAATATTATACTATAATACTAAAATATCACTGCTGGTAAATAAGAATTTGCTTGGGTTATTCCTATGCACATAACTACAAATAATTACATCTAATATATATACAGTATATATATAATAATAATATATATCATCTCCGACTTGAAACTATAGTCCCAATACTTGCACAGCCTTACCACTTGTTCAAAAGTGTATACTTTTCCTATCACCAGTGAAGTATGTACATGTCATTCGTAGTAGGAGGCCTATACTGCACTGTCAGGATGTGTGCGTGCTTACCTTGCCCTCGTGGTTGGGGCAGGAGAGGGGCGGGGCATATGTAGCAGCACCGGCTGACTCCAGCCCACTAGAGGCCTCGGGACGGGTGCAGTCCTGCTCCCTCTGCAACACCTCCATCAGATTAGTTATGAAGAAATTGTTCTGCAGTGCTGCAACACCCTTTTCAGGCAGGATGGAGGTCTGTCTGCACACTGGGCAGGAGAGGGTCAGGGACTGAGGGGGGATGTAGTTCTGGAGGCATCTGTGATGAAAAGAGTGTGAAAACAAGTGCGAGCTGTAAAGATTTCCCTCCAAGGTCAAATGGATTGTAAATGCACTGGGCGTAGCCTGAGACTCGTGGTCTGTCTGTGTTCAATTTTTCAGTCTCATTAAATTACAGTCGTAAATATTTTGACAGGACGATATAAAGTAACAAAAATGAGAGCAATTAACTGTCATGTGAGGACACATGATTTGTTGACAGAAGCGGAAAAAAACTGAGGCTCACATTCCAGCTCAGTGACGGCAGAGGGAATACAGTCATCTCTGTTTTTGCCTTACTGGGTGGATTCGAAACATGATGTCATACGACAGCCATTCTAAAGCACAATCCAGCATCTGTGACATTGCTTTGTTACTATTTAGGAAGCCCTGGAAGAGCTTTAAGTCAAACTGTGCATGTGCACTGGCGCATTGGAGCTGGACAGGGTTTTTTTCATTTCTTCTCTATAGGAGCAGAGCAGCAGACCAACAGAGTAGACCAAGTGGTGAGAGTGTTGAATTTTGAAATTATAGAAATGAGAGGCTAAAAACAATGGGCGGCAGCCAATCACTGTGAGGTGAAGGCAGTGACATCTGTCACAAATATTGACATTTTGTTACACATCACTCAGTAATAGTTTTTCATATACATATTACTCATTTTAACTCAATATTATATATAATTAATTTCAAATGCAGAATGTTGCTAGACTGTTTGTGCACTTTGGCAATTCAAAAATAAATAAATGTCTTTTATTTTATTATTATTTTTCATTTAATACATATGACATTATTGTGTAAAATTTTCAATGTGGCTTGGCTGTGGCATAACAAGTGTACTATTCAGAAAAAGACATTAATTTTGATTTAAAATGCAATATAATTAAATTTAATAATTATGATATTATTTTGTAGAATTATAATAAATATTATTTTCTATATTGCTATATAAAAAGAAATGGAAATGGAATTTGGATGGGGACTGAACTGGGTTACTAAAATAAAATTCCCAAATGTTTCATATGAGAGCGGGTGGACAGACAAGCACGTTGGATTATCACCTTAGTTTGCTCTGCTATAATACAACATTACAAAAAATTAAGAAAAAGAAGATGTACACTGCTATTTGCCAGAAAACAGCATTTTGCTACTGAAAAAGGTCGAGCTACTATCATGCTACTAAAAATGTGGTTAATTTAGTGTTTTTTAGTGTTTTAGTTAGTTATTCCCCACACTGGATCATCTTCAAGTCAACCAGATTGCTGTGATTTTACAGGCACACCCCGAAGCGGCAGCATTTAGCAGATTTCTTCCACACCAGTGAACACAGACAGTCTTTAGCATATTGTGAAAGCAGCATTCAGGCTATGATTGCGTGATTGTAATCATTTGTTCATTCATACACGAGGCACTTTCTATTGAGATGTGTCAGTTTACCTCTCGCAGAAGGTGTGCAGGCAGGGCAGGACTTTGGGATTGTGGTAGTGCTCCAGACAGATGCTGCACACCAGGAACTGCTTGTCTATTTGACGCACCACCGGGCTGGTGCTGCCGCTTTCCCGCTTAGCCATCGTGAGAGGCATTCAAGTGAAGAGACAGAGGCCTCTCAGACTATAAGAGAGAGACAGAAAGAACGGTAATCTTTGAATACAGCTGTAGGTCTATCTGTACAATCCCATGTATGTCTATGTAGGCAAAGGGAAACTTTCATAAAGGTTTTTATGCATGACAAGGGTCGACTACATTTTTAAAGGAGCACTAAATACAATGAAATATATCCACAACTTTTTGCAATTTTACAAAAATATTTAGCAAAATTTGCACATTACAAAACACAGTTTCATTAGAAATGATGCACAGTTAAATTATTCTATGAATATTTACACAGATGCTTGATCATGTGTCATAATTTATCTCAAATACGCCCTCCAGTTTTATAAATGTCATAATTCTAAAACTGTATGATACAGTTTCTTATTGAAAGCCTGGGTCCAGGACAAGGGTAAAACAATATACAACAAACATTTGAAAAGTGGCAACACATTTCTCTATACACCACCATTAAAAATTTTGGGGTCAATAAGATTTATTTATTTATTTATTAGTGCTGTCAAACGATTAATCTCAATTAATCTCAATTAACTAAAAGTTTGTGTTTACATAATATACGTGATTGTACGGTGTATATTATGTATACATAAATGCACACACAAACATGTATATATATTTTTATGTTTATATCCAATTTATATTATATTTAAATATAAATATTTTATATATAAATATGACATTTTTCTTAAATATATACACGCATGTGTGTGCATTTATATATACATAATAAATATACACAATACACACATATATTACGTAAAAGCAAACTTTTATTTTGGATGTGATTAATCGTGATTAATCGTTTAACAGCACTATTATTTATTTAAAGAAATTAATAAATTTATTTAGCAACAATGCATTAAATTGATCAAAAGTGAGACAAAAAAAAACATCTATATTGTTACAAAACATTTATTTTTCAAATTTATGCTGTTATTTTGAACTTTCTATTAAAGAAAAAAAAAACATTATCACGTTTCCACAAAAAATAAAGCAGCTTTCAGCAGTTTTCAACATCGATAATTTCTTGAGCACTGAATCAGCATATTAGAAAGATCATGTGACACTGAAGACAAATGACATTTTTATATTATATTAAAATAGAAAACAGCTGTAGCCATCAACTATATCCATGACACACATCCATGTGAACATCTCACTGAGCAGATTAACCCTGATCCCTCCATCTACTAACAACATGTTATTGTTTCAGTATCAATGAATGTGCATACAGCATCAGTTTATCTTCCACAAAAACAAATGGGATGTGAAATCCTATGATACCCAAAACATAACAGTCTTTCTGTTATTGAGAGAGTCATATGTCTGTCTGTCTGTGTGGATGTGTTTGTGTGAGCACATGGTTTTTTTGCTGTTTAAGTGTCCATGCGCTACCTCGTCTGCCTTGCATGATTTTCCAACTCTGACCCACGTCTGATTCTGTTTTTCTCAATTTTAGGATTAGAGTGTGAGGATTTTGTCTACTGAAAATATGACCTTTATATTCCATGTTGCAACACAAGCCACATGTCAGGCACTTCCCCTAAAGGCGGGCGTACACGGTGCGATTTTTGCTGTCGTACGAGCTCGCAGGCGATTTTTTTCTCTCGGGAGAAAATTGCAGATGCTCGCATGGTCGCGGCTCGTAGGGTGTGAGAAGAATTACGGGCCGATCCGAGACGTTACTAGCACCTCCCGTCCTCCCGATAATTTTCAAACATGTCAAAAAAAATAGGATGCTGTCGGTTTAAATTTGTGGCGTATGTGTGGTTGAACGAGACGTGACTTTCGGATCAACTCAATCGTGACATGTGCCAGAGCTCACGATGTTCCGACCTTCAGAATCGCACCGTGTACGCCCGCCTTTAGACAGCAAGCATGAACAGCTGGAGAAACAGTAAAAATACTGTAAATGAAACGATTTGTCCATGTAACGTCATGTGGGTCGGTGGAGGCAAGATCACACTTAATTTTCACAACTCATGTGTATTAAATTGAATTAACTTTGTCCACTTAAACAATTCAGTTATTAATCTAATTTTTTTTTTAAATATCATGTTATTTTGTAACATTTTGGCTAGACAACTCAGGAATAAATGTTATTTTTTTCATTTATTATCATGTAATCAAATTTTTTAATACAATAATTAATTATTTGTTATTCATTTAATGATTTATTTATCATTTAATTATTTTTGTAATATTATTGTAAATATTACTTCAATGTAGCTAGACTGTGGCAAAGTTTTAAAAAAGGTCCACCCCCCACCCCCTTTTTATGTCTTCAGGAGTTTTTATTTTTTGCCCATCTTAAATTGTTTGGAACGCTTCAAACAGACTGTATTTCTTTCTCTGACAGCCTCGTTTTTACTCGCGTCAAATTAAATACGGTCTGTATCTCACATTAGTGCAGTCTGATGAATGAACACACAGCTGCTGTGAGAAGACAGGAAAACTGCAGACTTTTCTCTCACATCCTGGGATTAGAAGCCTCCCTATTCCCTCATGACTAACCTGTAACGTCAGATGTTCTGTACTTCATGAGTAATCTTTCATTTCCAGCTTGTGGAAAAGCAGTTGATTGCGGCACCCTGGAGCTGTAGAGTTTCACTCTCTCATATTCTGTTCTCTTTATCCTCCCTTAAGCTGTTTACTCAGACTGTAATAAAAAACACATTTGAAATATTATCTATCAGAGTGCTGCACCTTTCATTTCTGTGTCTTCACAGGAGGAAGGGAAAAAAGGAAGTCTTTAAATGGCACTTCCTAAAAATCCTCCCAGTTCCTTCCTACGTGTTTACAGCAAGAGCAAGAGAGAGATTAACTAGTCATTGCTAGCCATTGGGATGAACAGAAAAGGGAGATTTGTCTCTCTTTAAGCAGCTGTCCTTATTATTACAGCAGAGGGAAAACCCTAGGGAGATTTTACTAACAATAAATTTCACCCGCCGATAACATTGTTTGTTTGCACACGTCTGCGGCTGTTTTGTATTAGCACCAAGTTCACTAAAGGAATTGTGCAAATCAGGCAACGGACATCCAAAGAAGCAGTGGACCTCTTGGATTTGGCATACTTTGTTTTGACCGTACAGCATCACCACACTGCCATCTAGACACCTGAACCAACACTTAAAAAAAAACGCAAAATATGTTTGGCAACATAACCCATCTAGATCTTCGCCAACCATTGATCATTTGGTGAATTAAGGGGCTGTTTAAAAGAAACACATTTCTGCTTTAAAGAGGTCATATGATTCTGCTAAAAAGAACATTATTTTGTGTATTTGGTGTACAGATTATAATGACTTATACTGTCTTTTTACATCTTTGCTATACTGTCTTTTTGCATCTTGTCTGCATTTGGATCGGAGAAATGACAATCAACAAGTGCTACTCTACACTGCTCAAAACTCGCGTTTGAATCGTCAATGGCAAATTCTTTAAATATCAAAAACGTACTTAAAGTCTGTGAGTCAGAACAGCCGGGTAGTCTACTCTACCAGGATCAGGAAACAGTCCTCCATAAAATGCAAGAGCTTGTAACACTCCAAAGGGAAAGGAAAAATTGAAATCGCATCATATGGCCCCTTTTAAATATGCGCTGTGGAAGTTATCAAGATTTTTTTAGGGCTGTCAGTTTAACGCGTTAACATAATTAATTAGTTATGAAAAAAATAACGCTATTAAAATATTTTAACGCAGTTAACACACTGGCCCCGCCCCTAGATCGACCTGTACATCATCTTACATTTTATACAGTTGACTGTTGACAAATATGATGCAGGGCAACAACTCCATAAATGCAGTTATGTCCTAAATTCAAGATACTGGTGCAAAAATGACCCTGTATGTGTTTCTGTCTCATTTTTATATCATATGATAAGCGATATTAATGCTACAGGAGCAGCGAGCAATATCACACGAGTGCTGATTTTGTCCCGAAAATGTGGTTTAAATGTGATTTTATACAACAGTTAAGTAAATAAGAAGTTGATATTGTGTTATATTTTAAACAATATTATGTGTTTTTGCTCAATTTTGCAGAGAACATATTACCTTTAAAGCATAGCAGAACTGTTGTGCGTCTCCGAGCAACACAGCGGTGTTTAGTTTCTGAATGAATCCGCGGTTTGAACGAATCATGTGAATCAATGAATCAAAGGTTCATTCATAAGTGAGCCGTTTACTGAATTCCTGAATGAATCAGCCATTTGAACAAATCGAATCAAAAAGACATTTACCGCCATCTGCTGGTAGTTTTAGTTTCTTATTTAGAGTATAATTTCATAAAAAAAATAATAATAATAATTTAAAAAAAAAATTTAATTCTGTCATTTACTCTTTTACGTCCCTCATGTCGTTTCAAAACGTTCTTTTGTGGAACATAAAAGAAGGTATTTTGAAGACTTGGTAACAAAGCTGTTCATGGTTACCAATGACTTTCATTGTATGAACAAAAAATACTGAGATGCTTCTCAAAATATCCTTTTATGTTCCATAGTTTATGTTAGGCCGTTATAGCTTAAATGCTTATGTGTAATTTATGTTGAATTAAATAAAATATTTCTTTCTAAAGCTACAATTTGTAATGTCTACTTGATACTTTCTCATTCAACACAAAAATAGTTGTAAATAATCTTTTGTGGCTATTTTCACAGTAAAATTTATTTTGCGATTAATTAGATTAATTAGCCTAATCGAAACATCTTGTAATTAATTAGATTAAAATTTTAATAGGCTGACAGCCCTAGTTTTTTTTTAAACTGAACTTCTTTTAAATTAAAGGGATAGTTCACCCAAAAATGAAAATTCTGTCAGTAATTACTGACCGTCATGTCGTTCCAAACCCATAAGACCTTTGTTCATCTTTAGAACACAAATTAAGATATTTTTTATGAAATCCGAGAGCTTTCTGACCCTGCATAGACAACAAAGCAATTACCACGTTCAAGGCCCAAAAAGGTAGTAAGGACATCATTAAAATAGTTCCTGTGACATCA